GCCATTGAATTTCCACCTTCTTGACAATTAATTCTTCAAAAATATCCTTTTCTCTTTTTTCCTCATTGTCACTGTGACATATCTTTTAAGACAAGATGCTAAACTGCTATAAGAATTACAGTCATCTTTCCTTTATTTTCAATATTAACATCTGTGTAACACACACTAACACATATGTAAAGATACAAAATATGAAAGGAAATTGCTAACTAGTGAAAGTTCTTTTAATTCATGTTTTTACTTTGGTTGCATCCCCTTCTTGTCTTAAAAATACTAAGATGTGAATCTAAAGTGTGTTATGTCTCTTATGCAATTAAGCTGTAGTACAACACCTCTCAGCCAATCAAATTAAAGAAATACCTTCTTATAATCTAGCCCTTTGCTGTTGTGTACCCTCTTTTCTATTTCGCTAACTGCTGCTTCAACATATTGTTTAGCCTCTGCTAGCTATTGTCAATTTGTCTAAAAAATGGCTCTATAAAATTATGGGTGCATAGTGCATCCATAATGATATGGAAAAGAACATATGTCCTACGGGTGAAAATTATGGCTACGTCTGTCTTTAACAATCATCCTTCTATCTAAGTAATAATGGCTCTCCATGTTATTACAACACAAATAATCATCACTAATCCATTGCAGGTATTCTTGAAATCATTCCATCACACACATATATATAGGATGCACATTTAAGTCCGGTACCACCTATTTAACTTCTGAACAGCTGAAGCTGTAGTCATAAAAGTGCATACCTAGATAAAGCAGCTACGCCATACCAAATGAGACTGCTCATGATGACACCTGGTTGAAAATGGTGGATTTATCATTCCCATTTCGAAAACTGTGCAAGATAGGAGGAAAAAGTGAATCACAAAGTTGTAGAGCGTCATCAATGTAGTATGAAAAGGCACCTAATGGGCATGAATGTTATGAACAGAACATTTTAAATGTGCATTTGTTCACAATTTCCTATACTGTCATGTAACAAAATGATGTTATGTATGAAAGGAAAAAAAAAAAAAAACTAGTTACTACAAAAAACTTTATTTTCGATATTCAAATTTCTCTCCATCAGCTTAAATGTACATGAGGACCCTTGTTATGTTGATTGTTATGTTATTTGATGTTGAATGTCAGCAGAACATGAAGGATTTTCCAGTGTCCAGTAATGGGTGTTCTCCTTATTGTATATTTCATTCTGCAAAAAGCATGCCTCATCTATCCATATTATATCTGCCAAGAACGGCTGAACCACCATCTAGTTCATGATGAAGTTGCAAGATGTAAAATTTCTCTAGGCATCCCACATCCCATGCCTGATGAGGTGTTGGCCAGTATAGATGAACATCAGTTTCATGTGAAGGATGTGGGCCTGCAGAAAAATGCAGCTGATACAACTACGGTGCCATTCATGCCTTGCACACACATTTACCATAAAGCAGAACCATCTCACAATAATCATTTTTTGAAAATCATTCATAACCATGAGCTTCAACATATATTAGGATATTTCTTACAGAGCTGTCTCAGGTGAACAGGTGTTATGTTTAATATGCTATTTACATAATGCACAAATTTCTTACAAAAAGCTCAAGTTGCAATGAGCTGATGCGTTTTGCGACTTCATTCTGAATATTGTTTACTCTGTTTGTAAAGGCAGTGAGTACTAGAATGCTTTGGCAGTGAGTACTAGGAAACTGTGAGGTTTGAAACCAGCTCTTTTGATTGTGAATTACAAGCGATACTACCATGCCTTCGTGGCGTTACAGTTTCAGGAATTCACGAAAAAACTAATGTGCATTTTCAGCATTCATATCCACAAGATATCTTTTCGTACCAAATCAATGATGCTCTACAACTTTGTAATTCAAATTCCTTCTCCTATCCCATACTGTTTTCAATACAGGAACATTAACTCTGCTGTTTTCTGTTGGATGGCGCTGTAAATGGTCTCATTTAGTAGCGTACAGCAACTTTACTATACCTAGACACCACTTTTATGATTATAGCTCCAGCCGTTTGGCAATTAAACTGGTGTTGCCTGACTTTAGTAGGCACCCTGCATATACATATTTATATGTATGTGTGATGTAGTCTTTGTGGAAGATGACACCAATTCACTCTTTAATCATGGTTGAGAAGACTGTCGTTTAAATGATGACTGGTGCAAATCACAGCTGGCTTAATGGTTAATACATCATTTTTATTTTGCACAAGAAAAATTATTCAGAAATTCATTTCTGCTTACAACTGGAACAACACTGAACGTGTTAAAAGCATCCCAGATTTTCTATATAAAGTTTACATAGAGAAGAAAGGTGATGCAAGAGACGTTGTTTATTCAAGCAGCAGCAGGCGAGAAAAAGTAACATGCACTAATAGCGGTGATATTCATAGCCAGAAGGTCTTTGTGTTAATACTGGACTAAAGATTTCACAGTGCAGAGAAACTGCAGGGAAGAGTGACATAACACGCTGCAGAGCAATACAAAATGGTGCTACGTGTATATTTGAAACACAGATATGTTTAATTAAAATTTATAAATTTAAAGGTCTATTGCTAATTGATTCCAATTAAATTTAATAATTTTGTTTCACATTTACATATCCCCCCCCCCGTAACAGAAAAAAACTTGGTGAAAGAAAAGCCTTTTGAGAAAAAGCATTAGTGTTAGCAAAGGAAGAGAAATTTTGTAGAAGATTTACAATATTTAGAATTGCAATGAGAAAGCAAATAAGTACTTCAGGGACATATAGTGCTGAGGTTTCAATATGCCCTGTCATTTGTTGCATACATCTTCTCACATTTGAATATAAAAAAATACAGAAACAAAATATTATATAATTTGGAAATTGGAAGTGAAAAATCGGGTAAAAATATATTTATGGGTAACCCCTTGGTGAAAATTGGCGATTTTTCACGGTACATGGATACTGATCTATTTTCACTTAAAAAAAATCATCGCAGAATTGCACAAACTAGGCTCTTGGCGATAAATGAAATAACTTTGCGATAATACATGAGGTACCCTTCTCTCTACTCTAACCAAAAATGGAATTAAAATTGAATTTGAAAATCTCTAAGAGATAAGTTTGATAAGTTCTTGAAATATTGTTGAAACACTTTTTTTTAAATGTCCTGAATTTGGAGTATCAACCCTTGAGAGTGTTCAGAATTCTCAAAAAGGAATCTGAAGAAGATTTCATGAATTTTACAGTCAGTTGAAAGTCTTGTAAAATCATATGTTATAATTTAATATGAAATCAAAATTATTCTAATACATGGTTATAAAATTATGTTTTACTATGTATAAAACATATTCAGATTTGGTTATCATAGAGCAATGTAATACTTAATATATTAAAACAAACAAAGCCAATATAATAATAAACGGTACTATTCTGTTTTGAGGAATGTAAAAAATCGCCAAACTATTGTTGATGCCAGTGCTGCCAAAAATAATTGTGGTAACCTAATGCAAGAAAGGGAGTATAATAGTAAATAACTATCTAAGATTATTGTTTTAATTTAGATGAAAGGTTAATTTCATACAATACTTTTTTATTATTATAATTTATATAAAAAAAAGTTTAAACATAACTGAATGGAAGCATAAGAGTAAATAACTATTTAAGATCATTATTATAATTTATATAAAAAAAGTCTAAACATAACTGAATGGATTTTTGCATCGCTATTTCGCTACCGAGTTATCGCTTAAGCATAATTTCATCTCGTTGGTTGTTCAAAACATAATTTTCTATAATGAATGATGCCTTTTCTTTGAAAAAATTCTATTGCACACTTTTCGTTACGGACAATTCCCAAATTGTTAAATCCATAGAATATCAAAAAAGAATTTAAAAATTAAATTAGTATTTCAATGGCATCTTCAGAAATATAGAACTATCTAAACTTATGCAATTTGAAATCAGCGTGTATGCTAGATTTGGCGCTTTTGCGCATACATTTTCGCAGCATTTTTTTTACAGTCCTCAAAACAGAATAGTACCTAATAAACTTTCACAAAAACGGAAGGTTCTCTACAAGTGAATCAGCATAACTACCTGATTTGCTTCTAGAGGACCTGTGAGATGCTTAAATAATATTACACATAAAAACCTCTGTTCCTTACAAAAGATAACAGTTTTTAGTACTATATGATAAGTTTCAATTTAGTTTTATGGCCACAGAAATTCCTTTACATTAAGTACTTATAATGCAAATAAATAAATAAAAATTAAAGTCAAATATTTTGTATCCTGAAGTTATGTCACAGAAATTTAGTACACATAATCTAATATTATCCTACAATAATAATAAAAATAAACTGAAATATATGTGTGTGTAGTATTACTTTGTACTGAAATTATAGTCAGAGGATTATGGCCAGTGGGAAAAAAATACTACTGATCAGTCAATTCACGACCATAAATGACTTTCCTAATTAAAAAGAAATAAATTGAAAATTGGGGATTAGGAGCATGCCTAGGGGGACAGCAGGTATGTGTTATTGCTGGCTTTATACTTCTTAAAAGAGAGGATATAAGGAGTAATACACAAAGTATAAAACCTGGGGGGTCACATAAATTTTAATGCATAATTTGGGAAATAAAATGTACTTATTTTGAATAGCTATTCCAAATAGTTAATTTAAACTCACTTGTTGGGTTAAAAGGTCAGAGTCTGGTAGAATGGACAATTTCTGATTTCTTTTTAGTAAGGTAATTTGGCTTGTCTATTTCAAAAATAACATCAAAATATTGATTTAAAATTTTAAAAGGACCTAAAAAAGAAGAAAGTTTTCTAATGTTTCTAGTATTTACATTGCAAAAAAGGGCTAAACCCTGTTGCTTGCCAAAAGCAGCTAAAAGTTATTAATCAATAAATAAAAATTTACTTGAAGTGAAAAATATAAAAGATTTCTATTCAAATATAAGGATTCTAAAAATGATTTTAAAAACATAAAAAAGGAAGAAATGTAAGGATGTGAAAGATACCTGTGGCAAAGCCCCATAGTTCCATATATAACCATGATGAGGAAAACAGTTGTGAACATATCGTAGCAATCCTTTCTTAACATCTTGTTTAATAGGATTCAATGCTTCTTTTGTTGCTATCTGCAAAAAAAACATTGAAAATTAATTAATTTTATGAAACCTATTTGAATGGCATATTAAATTTTATACGATATTTTAAATTTCTATTTTTCCCATTTCTTTCATATTTTTTATGTACATGTATACAAGACCTAGCCTATATGGAAAGGAAATTTTATTTATAGAGATTACCTCCATTTTTTCATTTGTCCACCTTGGTACTTCAACAACCATGTTGTAGATTTTATTTTCTTTGTCAGCAAATAACGGAATGTCATGGAATGGTGAGATTGGCCCATTCTCGTCACCTGAATTTACAGAACAAATTAATTAATTTATGTATTTCTTAATCAAAACATGTATTTCCTTTTAAATGACATCAAAATATCAGCAAAATACTTGCAAAATTAATATCATTTCATAAGATCACTAAAGTAACTATATAACCCTAGCAGCATTCACCACTAAATTATCATAAAATTTATATATAATAATAAAAGAAGGAATTTGTGTGTATTATGTTGGTCTACAAAATTTGGCACACAGCTTTTCAAAAGAAATTCATATGCATTTTTCCTCCCAAAAAAGTGGGTTTTTATGTCATCCACATTCAGAAATCAAACTATTCACAATAATATTTCAATCTTTGTGAATATGAATCATACAGATTGGAAAATTTTATGATAAACTGTATGATAACTAATTTTATTCTTAATCTCTAATGCAATTTAACAATTTTTTATGCAATATTTAAATAAAAATTAATACATCACATTACTATTTCACGTACCTATGTACTACCTAAACATGTTTCATCTCCTTATGGATAGCTTTCCCTTTGAGTAGATGACATCAATCATCAGATTTTTCTAAGGAGATGCAATTAGTTTCTTTCTCAATGTTGAACCCCCTCCTCTACACATTATGCATCTTTTGAAAATATTTTTTTAAAAATAAATTTTGGTAATGGTAACTAAAATGATTTAGTTTGATGTTAATGTCTATAGACTAATTTTTTTATTATATATCATTCATGGTTGACTTACATTACATAACCACTACATTAATCTCAATCATATGGACAGGACAAATTGATAATTATCAAGGAGATCAAACGATTTTCATCTTGCCAATTTCACCTAAATTCTGCATGCTATAAAGGCCTTAACTTTTTGAAGGCCTTTATAACATGCATGCAAAGAATTAAGGTTATAAAGGGCTTAACTCTTTGAAGACCATAACGGCTCAGACGGCCTCAAGAGCCCCAAACAGCCGAAATTCTGATGTTGTTTTCTTCCCTTCCTTAAGGTATGCAGTAGCAGGTTCAGTTTCGCCAAATGCACTATATCAGATTAATGCAGACAGCTTGCCCTAAAAGGATTTATTTGTAGTTTCTTATCTTTATTTGTTAGAAGTAGAAAGGATGTCATATGAAATCTTCACTCTTCTTTATGTGCTAATAGATGGGTTGGGGAGGAAATTGCTGTGACTCTCGAAAACCATTTTGGGTGGTTCAGTATTTTAATGTACAGGTTACGGAAGGTTTCGGTTTTCAAACAGTTAAAAGTACAAACATATTGTTACATGCATACAGGTTCATAATGGACTGAATGCACACAAAACCGATAATAGCTTTATGAAATTTATTTTCCCAAAAGAAGCACTTTACAATTCTGAAACTTGCAAAAGTACCAGTACAGCTCTTTTCAGTATGGCAGAGTACAATCAGTATGTCAAACTATTAAGAACACTGAACACAAGGCAATACAAAAAGCCTTAAACGCGTAAGCTCACAGTGACCTCTCAATATCCTGAGCTGAACTCTGAACTAAACAGAAAATTGATACTCCTTCTGGTTCTTACATAGTTTTTCTGTCTGCCAAGAAATTTCCAAAACTCAAGAAAGCTCAGTATGTGATTCACTGCCTCCTTCCATTAATCCAAGTTTTTTGCAAATTCAAAACTTGAATTTGCAAAAAAAGAGCTGTTGTCAGACCTATTCTGACTATGCCTCTCCGGTTTGAACAGCGGCAACGGCAAAAGTAAATCAAGCAACTACAAGCAATTGAATCCAAAGTATTGCGATATATGACAAGTGCTGATTACTTTGTCAGTAACGAAATGATCACAATGATCTGAAGATTGAATACATCAAGACTTACTAGGCCAATACAAATTAAAAGTTCTCTCCAGCGCCAAGCAGTGTGAATTCTTCTATTTCGGAACTTTTCATTATGAGCTCCTAAATGAGGATAGGTATCTTAGACCTTTCACTATGCACATGTTTGCACATAACCAAAATTTCCCTATGTGACAAGCCTGATTTTAATGTGTTAACCATTTAACTGTCAAGTTATTTTGATGATTTGGGTACACAAATTGTCAAATTTTTTTATTGCAAAAACCAAATGTTTAGTACAAAATAAAATATACTTAAGTAGTTAAAAATTGATATTTTGATGTACATGGGTAAAATTTTTAAAGTTTTGTAGCCACTGCATATTTTCTTTGAGGCAGCTGTCACTCAACATGGCAGTTGCAAAGTTCGCTTCTAGTGGAGCATTATTTTCTAAAAATGAAAAAAATTAACTATTTTCTAAAACATAAATAAATATAAGTGAATACCTATTAGTAGTTCAGTAATTCAGTCTTATGTGGTACAACTGGAAACACTTTTCCAAGCACAAACCAACTCCAAAATCACTACACCAGAATCGTGATTCCTTCCTTATCTTTTCCCCATTTTTATCCTTTTTTTTTCGAACAACACACTTTGCACTGTCTTGTAGGCTCACGTTTCGCAGGAATAGGAGGAAAATGGGATATAAAATGTCGTTCAGTAAGACGGGCAGGGTTATCTATTGTAGGTGGTCTGCCAACATTCTTTTGTCCAGAAGCTGCATCATCATATTTATGTAAAAGCTCTTCTACAACTTGGATTCGAAATTCTAAAATGTAATACGTTTCCCAACTACATTTTTATAGAGCAAATATGAGTTCCAGAGTACCCTAGTAAATGTAAAGTATCTTTTTTATAATTTTATGTGACGTTTTCGGATTGTTGGATGAAAGGATATTTCCTGATCACAGCGATCTACACCACCCATAGTTAGACCATAATTAGAAACAATCTTTCGGCTTGAGTATATCTCCATTTTTTATTTTTGAGGCTGACCATGGAAGTATCATGAATACTGCTCATCAAACACACATCTCTTCATCTTCGGTTGAAGAATCTAAATCATCTATATAACGTTTCAAAGAACTGGACGCTATTTTACAACAAAAAGATCCCATGCAGCTTGAACCAAATAACCTCTAACCTTTGAAATCTTCAGTAAAGTACTGTCATCTATTGAACTGAGCGCACATTAACTTTTCCCGAGATACAGTCGGGTTTGACAAAGAGATGAAGCCGAAATAAACGTCTCCCAATATATATTCGGGTATAATAATGCGATGAACTCAAAAAAAAATTACCCCGAGTAATACTCGGGGGTGACATTTTCGAACACTAGTGCTGTGCCCGAGATTATCTCGGGCATGACAGTTAAAAGGTTAAGACTCCCGATGGACTTGCAGCAAAACTCTTAGTACTTTATCTGTTAATTTCAGCAACTTGGCTATGTTTGTATTTGTTTGTAATTTTATTATCACTGTAACCTGTTTCAGTATTTTTACCACAAGACGAAAATATGCAAATATGCCATCCCAAAATGATGGAACGACAAAAAGATTACATTATGCCATTGCCTAGGCCTGTGGTCCCCTACTGCTCACTTCAACACCACTCTCCTACAAAACCATTATTCAAGAAACACTACTATCATGCACATTGCGGCACTATCTCAATTTGGCTTTGTGCAGCGGCAACTTTTGCGCAAAAATCACTGGCACACAAGCCAAAATAACAAGTCAAAGAATTGCACAAACTTGGTATCCATTAAGACACAATAACATGCCGAACAAATACTAATTCAGAAGTCAAACAACAACAATCAACGTTATATTTTAGAAATTTTCACAGGACTAGTTTCGATGGTTTTCAAAACCACAAATGAAACAAGATAGGAAATTATGATTAGATAAGAAAGCCTGGACAAGAATAATCAAGTGGCACCATCTGTTGATAAAACCAGAACTAAAATATAATTTCTTTAAAGGCCAAAGGCAAAGTTGGATTGGAATTAGGATCGTTAACTAGAACAGAAAGATTTTTTTGAATGTGAAATACCTCTAGAAAATCCAGTTCTTCAGTGGAAGATGTTTTTTTGAATAATTTTGGCAGCAGAAAAATTGAAAGTGTGATTTTCGGACCAACAATGTTGAGCTACTTCCGTGTTTCCTTTTTTCTAACATATGCCTCATGTTCCTTGAAGCGAAATTTTAAGGCTCTCCTAGTTTGGCTAATGTAAATTAAACCACACTGGCAAGGAATCCTATAAATACCTCAGGAATTCATATCCGGAATGGGGTCCAATTAGCTATAAAGTTGCACATATTTTGCAGAAATTTAACTTTCGGATCGTTTATTCTCCCATCAATAAAATTCCAAGTTCCATACTCAAGGACCCCATTCCGGATGTGAATTCCTGGGGTATTTATAGGATTCATTGCCAGTGTGGTTTAATTTACATTGGCCAAACTAGGAGAGCCTTAAGATTTTGCATCAAGGAAGATGAGGCATATGTTAGAAAAAAGGAAACACAGAGTCTTCTGTTGCTCAACATTAATGGTCTGAAATCACACTTTCAATTTTTCTGCTGCCAAAATTATTCAAAAAAACATCTTCCATTAGAGAACGGATTTCTAGAGACATTTCACATTCAAAAAAATTTCTGTTCTAGTTAACGATCTTAATTCCAATCCAACTTGCCTTGGCCTTTAAAGAAATTATGTTTTAGTTCTGGTTTCATCAACAGATGGCACCACTTGATTATTCTTGTCAGGCTTCCTTATCTAATCACTATTAGCTATCTTGTTCATTTGCGGTCTTACAGCTGAGGATGGTGGTTCGATAAAACCATCGAAACTAGTCCTGTGAAAATTTCGAAAATATAACACTGATTGTTGTTTGACTTCTGAATTGGTATCTATGTACTGCCAATTTTTAACAAATGGCACTCGGAAATATATTTTTACCGAATTATGCTCAAGTCTATATATTTCATAATAATAAGAAAAAAATACTGTCTGATCATCAATAGCATGATCACAAACAAACACGCATGCTCAATTCAGTCGAATTATTTATAAAATGGACAGGTGCGATCTATATACGATATTTCTTTTTTTTTGGGGGGGGGTTACTCACCTGCTCTTTAGACCAGATTCAGGAATGTGTATGCATCTATGTGCATATACACAGAAGAGCCAAAACATTGTGACCACCTACTCAATAATGCATTGCAAAATATTTAGCCTGCAAAATACCTGCAACTCCCCTTGGCATGGATACCACAAGTTCTTGGCAAATGACTGGGAACAAGTTGTGCCAAATGTCTAAGTAGCAGTCGCACAAAGTCGACATATTCTGACATGGTGGTATTTGAGCACTGAGCAAACACTCCATGATATCCAATATGTGATATATTGCATTAAGATCCAGTGAGTTAGGTGGCAAAGACATTAATTGGAATTCATTCTTATTCTTCTCGAACTACTCCAATACAATTCAAGCCTTGTGACTTGGAGCACTGTCCTGCTGAAAAATTCCATTTGCAGTTAGGAAGATAGATGCCATGTAAGGGTGAAATTGATCTGCAATTATGGTCAGTCATCTACAGCTTTCATGATCTGCTTTACCACAAGTGTCCCAGAGCTGCCCATGAAAGCATCCCCCAAAGCATAATACTGCCACCACCAGCTGATGTAAAACTTGCTGTATAGAGGAGGGAGCAATTGTTGTCCTAGAAGACTGCATACCCTGACACGACCATCACACTCAGGATGACAAGTGTTGATTACTTTGTGATGAATGAGAAATTGTATTTCATCCAACCAGGCAACTGTCTTCTACTTATCCATGGTGCAGTCTCAATGTTCTTGGGCCCATTCTAGGCACACCTGATGATGATGCTTGGTCAACAGAGGCACACGAGTGGGACATCTGCTGCCCAGTTCCATATCCAACAGCGTGTGTTGAGCTGTGTGTTCTGAAACACTTGCATTTGGACCTGCATTGTATTAAGCTGTCAGCTGTCTCACTGTCTGGCGCTGATTTTGCTGTACAGTCTCCGGAGGAATAGTATCCGACGTTCTTTCTCTTTGATGATGTTGTGGTCGTCCAACACCTAGACATCTACTGCTTTATTCCATTATAATTTCTTTTAATAAATACTAACTACGGCAGATCATGAACAACCTAATAGTCATGCAGTTTAGGAGATACTCATTCCAAATCTCCATTGCAAATTACTTCTGCCCTCTATCAAATTCACTTAGATCAGCAACCTTTCCCATCATTTGCAAAAGTAAGTGAAAGACGATTCCAAACCGTCTCCAGCGACAGTTAAATACCACTCTCACTCAATCACGTACCCTCCACATTATCCAGACAAGTTCATTGAAAAACTAAGGAATGGTCATAATGTTTTAGCTCGTCAAAGTAAGTGTACACACATACATGCATGCATACATGAACACACATATCCATATAATTATACAAGCATTTCTGAATCCAGTCCTGATAGCAGAAGAGTACCTTTTTTTTTTTAATCCTTTTCCTTAAAGTTTTTTAAATAAATTCAAAAAACCAAATATCAAACAGCAAGCAAATAAAAATAAAGAAAAAAAGACAATTTTAATAATATTCTCTGGAAAAGTTATCCTTAGACATGCATTTCTCTAACTTGTACACTTGCTGGAAGGGTTCAAGCTTTCAATAAAATAATAAAATGCTTAAACAGTGACCTGATTTCTTACAAACAGCATCCAAATCGATATATCTAAAAAAAAAACCTGAACACAACTTAATTACCTATATACATTTTGAAAATAAAAATTACATTCACTTATGTAATAATTTTTTTTTTTTTAATGCATACACCTTTACCAATTCCTTTTTTCCAAAGGTTTTGAACTTTAAAAAAGAAATTTAACTCTTAGATTTTTAAACATTTAGAACCCTTAAAACCTTTTAAGAGTCTGCTCGAAAAACCATGCATTACCTAGAACTCATTAGTAGCATTTTTGTCGATTAATAATGCAACTTATTTTCAGATTCAATAATCTGTGCCATGATCATTAGTTTAAAATTTTAATCTCGTCTTTACAACAAGAGCCATACCTCATAAAAAGTGTAAAAGGCATCAACAAAATATAAATAAATAAACAAAAATGAAGCTTTATTTGACAGTTTTTTTTTTTTTTTTTTTCAATTACGAACTCGGAAGTAACATATTGCAGCTGAATTTAGACTCACTTAATATTTGCACATGAAAGTTACTCAGCACCAGACAAACACCACCTCATTAATGCAAGTCTTAAAAATAACTTAAAAATCAACTTCAAAATAAAATTCAATAAAATAATCGCTGATCAATATTAAAAGATAACAGAAAAAACTTATGTTCGCAGGAGATTAAGATTTATTAATGCAAAATTAACTCCATAACAAAATTCTCTTCTACAGATATATTATAATACACCTCAGTATGCCAGAGGAAAAAGTGACAACAAAGCGAATTAAAATTCGACATACCTACCGTCACAGCTTACATATATTTACTTGCAGATACACTATCAGTACAGTGAAGGTCAGCTACAATAAAAGCACTGCTTAATAAGAACTTCGTACTAATATGAATTAACTATATAATTTTAGGCCAGTGTCAAAACATACATTTCTATTTTTTTCTTATTGTTAGAAAGAAGAAACAAATTAAGCTGGGAAGAGAAAAATTAGGTCATATAATGAAAAATCACTTACTATAAAAGATTCTATATCCTAGCGTATTGGGAGATCCTCTTTCAACTATGGAGAAAGACATTTTTCGAGAACCTATAAATATATTTTTCTGGTGTTTCTGAAAAGAGAGAAATCGATTTCTGAGTAACCCACAGCGGGACGCAAAAGACACACACTTCAACACGTGTCTACTGAATATCATCAGCGCAACGTACAACGGTATAGCTATTATTTTTCGGATACGTGATCAAACACTTAAAATAAAAACCTGTCAATAAAGTACTGCCATCTAGTGACGAAAAAGGTAGCGGGAACAATTCAAAAAATAGACTCAGTTACAGTTAGGTAAAACGACCTGAGCGCAAAAAAAATGTATCCTTGATTACTTTTATTATCAGGATTTTTTATATTTCTAAATTTTTGCAGTATATTTTGTGACCATAATTTACAAATATTTATTTGATTTTTTTAAATTTCTTATAATATTATCTGTGAAAGTTATCCTTAGACATGTATTTCTCTAACTAATACATTTGCTACAAGTTCGATAAAATAACAAAATGGCAAGACTTCTCAAAATCGAATACTTAATTTAACAAAATCGAAACGGTCTGAAAACAAAGCATTATGTATTCAACATAATATTCAAACGGTAACGATACACAAATCAGAAAATGAGAGAATAAAATGCATCATCAAGTAGAGAAATTCTTTAGAGATGACTGATCGTGACATAGTTCAGAGGTTATCGCCGAAAATAACACTGCTTTTCTTGATGTATTAAGTTCAAACATTCAATAAAAATTCTGGATGGAAAACTTTCGGACCACTCCAGAAAAAATCCGTAGAGCTCGATGATGCAATCGATTACATTTTCCAAAGCAAAAAAATAAAACAATCCTTTAAATCAGGGGTTTGCAACCCCAGGCACAAGGCCTAAATGTGGAACGGGGGATGATCTTTAATAACATTCGGAATTGTTGCCAAAGAGAAACCTTGAAGAATTTTCGGTATTTAGTAATTTGATAAACGTAGAAACAGACTATCGTAAAGTCATAAACAGATCTTTGTAAGTCGAAGTATATGCGGTTAATTACTGCACAGCTATAAAATATTCTGACGCAACACAATGCACACGAGCAATGACAGAGAAGGATCTGATATTCAGCGAGCGTGTTTCTATGTGCTTTTACCCTCGGTTTCATTTTCGCATCTGACGTCAAGAAAATGAAGTTTCCTCGCGCGCTTATAACCTTGGAAATGCTGAAAGACACTGAGCGTCCGAGCGAGCTCAAAAATAATTCTTATAAAATCTGCTTTTTATCGAAATATGTGGATTCTTGCGTAAGATACTTAAATATTATTTCTCATAAAAAATCGTTATAAAATTACAATGCAGTAATGATTCAATATAAATTAACATGCAATATTAATAATAATGATTATAATTACGAATTCGAACTATTTTTGCGTAATAATGAAGCAAAAAATTTAAGAACTGAAATATCACTGCCTATTAGATACTTGTGCATATTTACATACAAAATTCTAAGCCGCTTGCACATTGTGAAACGCACTTTGTGTGTGCTCTGCATACGCATTGTAAGCATAGCGCGTTTATAATAATAACAATAATAAAGTAAATAATAAATAATAATAAATTAAAAATAACATTCATAACAAGGCTAACACTCAAGACTTCAGCAAGGTTTCGCAGCATTCTAACATATTTTATGCGCATTTAAAAGTTGAAACAAAATGTTTTGTTCCAACGTATCAAATATGATACGGTGGACTTCGCTGCCGTATCACATTTGATATGGTGGTCCCATGGAGGGAAAATGAAGAGTATTATTAGTGGCGAAAAGGTTAAGAGCGGCCGAATGTCCGCTAAAAATTATCAATGGAAAGACATATAACAGAGATGGCAGCAAATATATCTGGAAAACAAACAACTTATTTATTGAAACTTCGGTGTCCGCACTGTAGCAGTTGTTGAAATCCGAATGATGTGTCACGGTTAGCTGTAACAGCCCAGTGTTGGACAGACCGTATTTATGAGGAACTGTGCTGCTTATTCCCAATTCACAGTACGACTAGGAGAGAGGACATAGCTTTCGTGTTTATCAGTTATTTTGAAATGTATTTATGTTGAAAACAGTTTGCGTTACCTCTGATCGTGCACCTGCTTTAGCTGGTAGGAACAAGTGTTTTGTAAAACTTCTTGGAATTCACACTGCCCGTCACAGATTGAGCTCACATTGCAGTATACATCAACAGAATTTGTGTGCGAAGATCTCTGCACGTCAGATAAACGCTGTGATGTAAACTGTTGTTAAGATAATCAATTTCATCTAATCTCTCTCTGCATTAACTCACAGACATTTCCTTTTATTGCTGGAAGGAATACAGAATTCGTATGATCTAACTTCGTCGCTGGCTTAGCCGAGGTAAGGTGCTTGACGTATTTGTGTCATGCTTGGATGCAATCAAATTATTCCTTAATGAAAAACGACATTTCCCAGAAATGTGTAATAAAGGTTATAAAGTATTTTCTCTCCTTCTAGCATGCCTTAGTTGTGTAATGGTCAGCACACTCGGCACGTATTCGAGAGGTTCAGCTTCGAGTCTCGGCGAGGGCACTGCTCATTTTTCATGTTTCCTGCTTAAGATAACCTATATAATGTCTCTACAGTGGCACCCGAAATAAAAGGTCGTGGATGATGATTCTTCATCACCAGGATTTGACAATTGAGTCCCCTAATCCCCAGTCGCCCTTTAAGAGGGGGAATATATAAGGCATTTCTTCCTCCTTCTAGCATGCATTCGTGGTGTAATGGTTAGCACATTCGCCGCGTATTCGAGAAGGCCAGGTTCGAGTCCCGGCGAGGGCATTACTCGGTTTTCATATTTCTTGCTTCACAAAAACTTAATGTCTCTACAAGGTTTCTTTTGCAAGTTGTGATTTCTCGCTGATATTACAGCACCTCTCAGTGGCTTAAAGAAACGATTTCATGATGAGGTGCAAACAGTATAAGAATTATAGGAATGCTGGCTGTGCTCGTATAAAAATCAGATATGCCATATTTACTAAGTATTCGTCCCTTTTTATTAATTTAATCATATAAAAATCTAGAATTGAAAATTATGCGAATAATGTAATTTTCCGAAGATATGGTTTCAGCAAAACATAAAAAATAAAAGTACTCTTGGATAAACTACCGATAACTATCAAAATATTATCCCTAATTCACCATACTCGCGAAAATCCTCACAATATGGCACGAGCGTCTTTACATGAAGCTAAAGTGACTGCGTGGTGCACCATCGTAAGCACATTCGTTCTCGGTTCGTACTGCTTCGAAGAACTCACTTCCGCAGGTATACAAGCGTTCTCCACCGCAAGTCCTCGGCAGCAGTACAATGTCATTAATGGAACTGTATGGATGCAAGACGGTGCTTCTTCACACATCAGTACATGTTTTCGGCAAGTGTTGCAACGGCATTTTGGAGATAAAGTTATCTCCCGTCATTTTGCAATTTCGGGGCTACCGTAATCCCTCGGCCTCACTCCGATAGATTTCTGGCTATGGGGTTATCTGAAATCTAAGGTGTACACATCAAATCCATGAGATTTGTCAGAGTTGCAAGAGGCCATAAAATGTATATAACATTCCTCCTACGATGTTACGTTAGTCATTGTTGTCAACAATCTTCCACACGCAATATGTTATCGTCTGCGAAAGTGAGCAGGTTGAAAACTCGTAAACCCAATGACAAATGTTTCCTTTCTCTTACTGTCATTACAATGCTTTGTCCTTTAGTATGCTCTTTGTAAATGTTTTTTACGTTGGGAATATTTGTAATAAGTGTATCGTTCCAACGTCATTTATGGTTTTTCAATGCGGTGATCAATTTGCGTAAGACTATGTATTTATATACCTAGTTTGTGAGAGGTTGGTAAGAGGGTTGAGGTAAGTGAATAATTCAATATGCTTCTTTCCAATAGGTTTTCTAATGTTGCTAATAGATGCTGATTACTGATAAACTTTTTTTCACAGAAACAATAGCTGGTTTCTGACACTGACAGGCATAATGATTTTTCAGAACTCTGTATAAGGTTTCGAGGCAGTTAAATGTAAAAGGTTGCCGAAGCATGCCTTAAAAAGAGATGCGCGATCAAGTTTCGATCGAACTAAATACTACATCCGAAAAATGTATAGCCGCACTAGTGACAAAGCAGTTAAGGCAATTTAACGCTGGTAGTTCTCCCTAGGTTTGATCATTAATGAACGGGCTGGTTGCGTGGTGGAATTTTGTGGTTTTCTCGAGCTAGTTTTTCAAAATGTCTTCTTCGAAGAGGTATCTCACCCTTAGGGCAGATAGCTCTATTTTGTCGTATTCAAATACCCTCAAGTAATGTAACCTAATCGCAAGATGAGTATGAGAAAGGACGTATCAAATAACCCTTTAAATATTTTTGTTGTGGAGTCTATTTCTATAAGAGGGTCTTTTAGAATAAATACTGGTTTAAGCTGAAAATTCTGTTTTGGATAGAGAAGAAGCTACAAACAGTTTTCCAATTTCAAAACTCGAAACCAATTTCTTGTGCACATTTAACCCTTAGCCTGTCGAGTGATTATCTGCGAATCTCTTTAAAACTGTCGCTAGTTTTGGACCGAACTTCCCGTAAAATGTCGCGAAAATAACCCTAAACCTCTGAAAATTGTCAAGCAGTTCTTTTGTTATTTCCCATCCCTCCCAGAATTTTACTTCAATGATTCCGCTAAGTGAGATTGATTGCTATATATTGTTCGGTAGCTGTGAGCTCTCAAGAGAATTGCAAAAGGCTAGACTCTCCGTGATGATCGTCTTAATGCCGCAGGCTACAGCTGCGAAACTTAAAGTTTCCTTCCCTTAACAATCTTATCTCTACATATAATAAAAGAAAGAGTCTGTCTGTGTTGTGTGTGCGCCTTTCGTTCGCGCTGCGCGTAAGCTAATAGACCCACGGCTACGAAATTTGGTACATAGGTACATCTAGACAAGAGCCAGTGCACCTTCGAAGCGATTTTTTTTTCGAAATTCGAATTCGAATTTTTTTTATTTCATGTTTTGTGACGAATCGTGTCATTTTGAAACATAATGGGCTATAGGAAAGCGAGATTTTACTCTACACACTCCATTTTCAACATCGTCATGAAACCTAGGCACTTAGCTATTTTACTAACTTAAAATAAATTTCCTGTTTCAATAAATCGATTAAATACG